TTTCAAAGGTAATTTGTGTGAATCTATTTCTGTCCCATTGATTTGTTTTCTATTTATCATCAGTCCCACGACACCTTGATGATTGTGGCTGTGTGATAAGTCTGCAAGTCAGGTAATGTGAGTCCTTTGACTTTATTTTCCAGCATTGTTTTAACTCCTCTGTGTATTCTGCCAGTCTGTGTATCACTGAATTGAACCACTGTATCAATATACATTAGAGAACAAGGTGGGATTTTGATTAAAATTGTGTTGAATGAAGAGGTCATCTGGGGAAGAGCTCAGAGGCTGACAGTATTGAGTCTCCCACCTGTGAACACAGAGATCTTCCCATTGGCTGAGTTTGTTCTCCTTTCACAGAGGTGTGTAGTTTTTCTCATAAATATTGTATATTTTTCATTAGACTGAGTCCTGTGTAGTTGTTTTATCATTAATATATATGTATTTATATATATTATCATTAATATATATTATCATTAATTTGAGTTTGAACTGTTCATTACTGATATACAGGAAGGCTATTGAATCTTAGACACTGGCTTTTGTGCTCTGTGACCTTTGTGTGCAAGTGTGTGTGTGTTCATATGTGTGTGCACATGATATTTATGGGTATGTGTATGGATGTTGGGAGACAGTGGTTAGACACCCATATGAAGGCTAGAGGTTGAAGTTGGATACATCATTTCCTATTCGATTGTTTTAGACATAGTCTCTCACCCCAAGCCTGGGTCTTGCTGTTTTTGGTAGTGTGGTGAGCCAGCAAGACTCCATAATCTCCCCATTGTCTTCTAGCTCTGCACTGGCACTGCATGTGGGTGTTACCATGCTTGTTTGTTTGGTTTTGCTCATGTGCAAGCTGTGGGATCTAAACTTGGGGTTTCATGTTTGAGCTTCAAGGGCTTTACCCACCAATCCATATCCTTTGTCAATTCTGAAATCCTTCCATGTTCATGTTTTTATATCTGTCATTGGTTCTCTGCAGAGGTCAATCATGTTTTTCTTAAAGGTAGCTCAACTTCCTTCTATCATCTATGTGTCTCTCTGTTTTCTGGGTTAATGAGTCAGCCCAGGCTTCCACTAAATTGGCACTGCAGTGGTGAGAGGGAGTGTCCTTGTTCTGCTCGTCTCAAACTTGAGAGAACAACCCTTACCATGAGTGTGGAATCCACTACAGGTCATTATAGATGTTTATTAGGTTGGAGAAGTTTCTTTATGTTCCAAGTATATTGAGAAGTATTTTTGGTTTCAGAACCCTGATGGTTATGCACTCTTGTTAAATGCTTTTCAGTGTCTATTGACAATATCACATGACCTCTCATCCTTCTTCTGATTGATGTGAAAAGTTTTGAGATCTTACTCATATGTGTGTGTATACCTGTGTGTGTGTGTGTGTGTGTGTGTGTGTGTGTGTGTGTGTGTGTGTGTGTGTTACTTTAGTCCTTGCTAATGCATGATGGTTGTGCTCACCTGTAGATTCATATGTGGTTAGAGGTTGACATTGGGTGTCTTCCTCATCACTTCTGCACCTCATGCTTAGTGACAGAGTATCTTCCATGAATCTGGAAATGGCCATTTCAGCTGGACTAGGTGGCTAGGAGGACTCAGGTACACCTTGTCCATGCTTTTCTTTTCTGTGATATTGGGAAGAAGAAACAGATGACAATATTGATTCTTCTTTCTTGTAACCTAAGAACAGCATGTCTCTGTCTATGTGGATCTTCCTGGCTTCTGAGAGTGAATTTTCAAGTGTTCCCTCTGCTTTTATGTTTTAGAACAAGTTGTCGAGTATGGGCATCATTGCAGCTTCCGTGCTCAATAGAATTCATTGGTATAATCTGCTGGGGCATTGTTGTGCTCTCAGGGCTGGAAGACTATTATTTATCCAATTTATGTAATAGATAAAGATATCTTGATTATTCTTTTTTCTCTATTCAAGTTTTAGCAGAGTGTGTATTTCAGAAATTGAATAGCTTTTTCTATGATTCAAGTTCTGGACCAAGAGTTCTTAATAATCTTTTACTTTCCCAGATCCTGTCTTGTCTAGGGCAGTAGAAGAGATAGTCCTTCTTGCATTTCTGACTGTAGTATTTTGGGCCTTTGTTCTTTTCATGTGGCTGTCCTTGATGAAGGTTTATTGCTTTTATTGTTTTCTTCAAAGAACCAACTTTGGTCTCATTGATTTTTCTCTATTATTTACCTGTACTCCTGTTTTTCTTTCATTCTTCTGCCCGATTTAAGTTTATGTTGCTCACAGACATACACAAATACATATGCCACACATAAATAAATGAGGGGAAAGGAGAGAATGCCAGGAAGAGGATTTCTTGCTTTTAAATGGATGCTCATGAGCTCTTAGGAATTGGCCTTGGGAGTGCAGGACATAGTTTACCTCTACTAGTTTCTCTTCTTGTCCCTGGAGCTACAGATGGGTGCTACCATAGCTGGTTCTTTATGTAGGAGCTGGAGGATCTGAACTCAGGTCCTCACAGTGGACCAAGCACTTTACCCGATGCTCTCTCCCCCACTCTCTTTCTCCCCTCTCTCCTGCCCATTCTGAAACCTCCCTATGTTACTGGCAGGAGCACTTAAGGAGTATGGATTTATTTTGGCTCACAATTCCAGAGAACACAGTCCATCATTTGGATAGCATTGTGATAAGAACAGCTTGGTCTATATTCTTAGGAGCTTGTGCACAGATATGCTTTAGCAGCAGACAGGAAGCAAGGTGGGCTATAACCTCCCATGTCCTTCTCCATGTCACTAACCTCTAGAGTTTTTCTTCCTTCCCTAAAGGATGTACCATCTCCCTCAAATATGCCACTGGCTAGGGAATGAGTGTTCAAGCACATGAGCCTAGGATGGACATTTCCCATCATCCCATAACAATTGTATCAGTCTGTTCCTACTACTAAAACATAATACCTTAGACATAATGACTTATAAGAAGACAGATTGCTTACTCAAAGTCTGGATTCATTGATGCTTAAGATCAAGGTACCAGGGGACTTGTCAGCAGACTTGGTGTCTGGCATTGGCTTGTTCTGCATTGATTTTGCAAACCTCCTGTGTGTTCTCCCATGGGGAGAAGGCAAACAATTCACCCAAGCTTCTTTTATTAGCACTTACAAAAGCAGACATCCCCTGATTCCATCATCTGCTGAAGGCCCCACCTCTTAACCTTACCACAATGAATGCTATGATTTGTATGTGACTCTTCTCAGTGGGTACATGCTGGAAGACTGGCCTTTAGCATGGTTGTGGTTAGATGGTGGAAGAGCCTTTAGGTATTGGGGTTGAAGGAATCTTTGGTGTTGGGAGCTCCACCCTTGTGAATGGATTGATGCTAAGAGTGGTTTGAAGGTATAGAGACGAATCATCAAGGTCGTTCTATGTGCCTGACCCCTTTGGCACATAGCATATTTCTTTTCTGGCTCTCTGATGTGTTGTGATATGGCCAGGTTGTCCCACCAGTGGCCATACTATGTTGTTTGGACCTTCTGCTTGACTTCAAAAGCGAATAACCCTACTCTCTTCATAAAGTATGTACACTCAACACAAGTGGCTAAGATTAGATTCCAATATGAATCTTGAAACAGCACACACATTCAGACTACAACACAGCTAAATGAATTCTGAGTCTAAGAACTTCCAGCCCCTTAAATACCTGCTGTGTGAGGCTATAAGAGATGAGTTCATATTTGGGTCCATTGTTTCTCTTCTACAACATTCCACACAACATCTCTCTGCCTGTTGGTTTGTTTCTGATTTCATCCTTGCTAGCACCCAGCTTAGACTGTTGAGGTCTTCCTGTACTATTACAGTGGCTGCTCCTAAGCCATTCCTTCCTCATAGCATCCTGTGATCAGATCTGAAGCTCCTTTTCTTACTGCCTCTCAGTGTGTCCCCGTCTTTACAGTTTGAGGTCACTTACTGAGTTCTTATTGGTTTGCTACTCTGAAGTTCAACAGTCCCCACAATAAGGCTTCAACATTTCATTTCTAACACCTACCACCAATTCTTCCAGCTTTGGGGCATGTAGCTGGCTAGATTCCCTTTTCTGGCTCAGTCCCTTCCCTTCTTTCCTGTGAGCTCAGAAGAGTACTGTGCGTTTGCAGGCTATCGTACCCACTGCCCTTCCACAGCAGATGTGTCACGGACCCATCGTCATAAAAAATCCCAGATAGATGTGGGACATAGACATCTAATTTTCCCTTTTTGGGATGGCTTTGCTTTTAACATGTTACTACTCTGGGCTGCAGAATGTATTACATGGGAGCACCCTCAGGCTATGGAGTAAAGTCTCTAGAATGCTGCATGAAGTCATGAAGGGGACTTTTAAAAGATAGGTGTGAAGAGAAAAGAAAGAGGTGAGCTTAGAGAAGCTCACGAATAAGGGCAGGTAATGGGAGCACTGTGGCTTGAGGACTAGAGGGGACTGGCATGTACTGTTGCATTTTTCTGGAACCTCAGCAGAGTTCAACCTAGCCAAAAGATATTCATTCAGGGTGGTCCTACACCCTGTTACCTGTTGCTGCTGGGTTTTCGCTTTCAGCTTAACATAACCCCAAATTAGAGTAATGCATTTTAAAACACACATGTATTTTTCTTTGAAAATGCCATAGCCATATAATAACCCTGAACACAGCACGAGGAAACACACACTCCACTCAATGAGACACTGGTTCCTTAAGAAGACAAGAGCTTGTATAATATTGATGCATCATGGGCGGATCTCACAATCCCACAGGTAGGAGGAAGCGAGAATGCTCACATTTTGCCAATAATTTAACTGAGTTCATATAGAAACAAATACACAATTTGTAAATTACATTGTTTATTTGGCCCAACTATAACTTAAATATCATTAAATATTATTCATTCAAGTCTATGTTATTAAAAGCATCTCTCTTTAGACATTATAATAAATTACCATTGCACTGCCCGTGGGGAAGGTTAGGGGAATGTACAGATTTCCCTGGGCCTCTCCGCCTAGACAAGAAGGCTCAAGGATGCTGAGTTTGAGACTTCTTATCCAAGTGCTTTATGTAGTTCTCAACCCACTTCTTCTTGGGGTCAGCACAGATCTCCTTATCCAGTATGGTCCTGAAGCTGTCGGGAGAAGGCATGGTTAGGCAAAGTCCTCTGAGGGTTCTGTTCAGGGCATATGTGGCCTGCCCATTGGTTCTCAGACCTCTTCCACTCATTCATAGATGGAGAGTCAGGAGAGAAGATTGGGAAAAGTGTAAGAAATCTCTCTAATCTCCTGGCTGAATGAGTTAGGTACAATCTCTCCATGCAGATGGGAATTTGTGGATTCTCTAATGGGCTTAGTTTTCCTAGGTGAGGAAAGGACCAGGTGGGTAAGATGTTCTATTTGTTTGACTCATGGTCATGAGTCCAGACTTCTCTCTCTCTCTCTCTCCTACTCCTCAGATAGGAAACTAGCATGGGGTACTGGGCATGGCCTACTTACATCACAGCTTCCCAGGGACACTGAGTGCTGGTGATCCTCCTGTAGCTCTTCAGCCTCCACAGAGGGATCTTCTGAGAAGCCATCGTGTAACAGCAGGTGATTGGTATGGACACCGAGTCTGAAAACAATTTTGTAAAGTAGGGAGAGTTAGGAGACATTGCAGGGTGCTCTCACAAGGTAAGGAGAAGGCTGGGTTGTACCTAAGAGTCATGGCTCCCTAGTTCTGTATCTAGAGCCCAATTACAGAATATTAATAGAATATGTCCTAGCCATTGACTGTGTATGGAAAAAAAATCTCATCAATTTTTAACACAGGAAAGTAAACTCTAAGAACTTGCTGTCCATTACTTGCTGCTGTGGGCTTAGAATCAACCTACTTTTAGGCTAAGAAGGCTCTCCAGTATCCACATGTGGCTGCTGTTCTGCAAGCCACTCTGGACCATGACCCCAGCTTTAATTCCTGTCACTCCTCTATTGCTTGAGATGTCCTTCTAACATACAGAACCAATTCTGGGCCACCTCTCCCAACAAGGTTAGGGCAGTATCTGTAGTAGCTGCATGCAGCATTTCGTCCCAGAGCTGGTGTCATGAGACACATCACAGGGCCTGGCCTCTGAGGTCTGAGCACTTTCTTCTGGCTCTGTGACACAATGGCTCTTTGTAACTTCTCCTGTAGTCCTAGTCTCTCCATCTTAAAATTGCAGACCCCACAGCAACTCTGAGATGTGCTAAGAGATTGGAAAAGGAAAAGTGTCACCTGGCGCAGCCAACACCTGTGGGCTGATGGTGGCAGTTATGAGCAGCAGGCACAGAAGCTCTGTGGAGAACTTCATGTTGAGTCAAAGGCTTCGGAATGAAAGCTGGAGGCCTCAGGAGTTGGTGTCACTGTCTCTGCTCCTCTGATGTGCCCGTCTGCCTTTTATAAGGATCAGGGAACTTTCTAGGATCCTACTGAAGGAAAGATGAAGTAAGATCCTCTGGGCTGTGCTGAGTAGGCATCCGATACCCAGGGTGATTTCCTCACAGCCAGAAGGAAGCTGTGCAATCTGTGTCTACTGCCAGCTTAGACCGTGAAACAGAGCTGTAAAGGTATACAGCTGAGTACAGCAACATGGAGGAAGTGATATCACCGGACAAGGGATTCTCGTTTCTATGAAATGGAAAAAAACATCTGTATGGAAGAAAGAACAGGAACTATAAGTCATGGAGGACTAAAGAGTGGCCAGGATCTGCCTTTTGGGGGGTACCAGGCTAGAGATAGGCAAAGTTTTTGCTTTTGGCCTTTATCACAGCAGGCCACTGCAATCCTAAAGCAGGTGGGCTCCTCAGAACCCAGTTGGGCTCCAAATAATTCTGGAAGAATGACAGGATCCAGAGTTTGCCAATCTCTTACTTTTCCTCCTTCTTCTCTTCATTTCTTTTGTTACCACATGTTATACATGTTAGGCCTGGCCTTGCAACTGCTAGGCATGAACTCTACCACTATGCTACAGCTACAAAACCTGACCAGAACTACTTCTTCCCCTCCCTCCCTCCCTCCCTCCCTCCTTCCCTCTTCCCCCCCCTATTTCTCTTTTGAGATAGGGTTGCCCAACATGCCTTGAACTAATTTTGTAGAACAGGCTGGCCTTGGACTTGTGATCAACTGTCTTAGTCTTCCAAATAGCTGAGTTTATAGAATTGCATCATTATTCTTGGCTCAATGTCTGAAAGTTTCAAAACTCTAGATACTGATTCTGTAGTTGGTGTGATTTTGAGCGGGTGGGATCCTCTAATTAGGAGGGGACTCCAGTGGGGGAATGCTATAGTGTGTGGACACCTGCAGTGAGGGATCTTGAAGGTCGGGAAGATGATGTAATGGGTGAGCCCCTGCAGTGGGTTGGATCCTGCAATGAGGTAGATATCTGGTGGAAGGACTCTACAGCGGAGCTCATTCTGCAGTGTGAAGAGGACCCTGCAGTGTGGGAATCCTGCAGTGGGGGATCCTGCAATGGGCGAGCTCCTGTGGCAGGAGGGAATGCTCTTATAGAGAAGGAATTTGTAGTGGGAGTATCCCTGCATTGGGGAGATCCTGCAGTGGGAAGATCTTGCAATGGAGGGAAGTCTGCAGTGGAGCTGATCCTGAAGTAGGTGGTTCTTCTCAAGGGAATCATTTGGAGAAGGCCATTAGTTCATGGAGATTCTGGAACTTTGGGTATATTCATTAATGGCCTCCCAACTCCCTTCACTACACACAATGGAGGGGAAGTCATAGGAAGATGTGAAGGGGAAACGAGGTTGCAAATTGCTGACCTCGTCTGTCTCTTAGCACTCATGCATCATCTTCATTGAATCTTATGTTACAGCACTTCCAGGCTGGCTCTTTTCACCAAGCAATATTGCATGTAAGGTTCCTCTATGCCTCTTATAGTTTAATAGCTCACTCCCTATTTTTTTCTCATTTTCTCATAACCATGAGGGGTGCCGTCCACATGGTCTTGCAATCAGTCTCCCTTACTTTCTATTTTGTGAACAACATGTTATGCTCAATAAACCAGTCCCATCCCCTCCTGTCCCCTGATCCTGGGGAAGAACCCTGATTTCACCCACCAAATGATCACACCCATTGCAGTATCCCCCTACACTAACCATTGTTACTTACCTCTTCTGTGATTTCAACTTCTCTACCTCATGTAAGCAGACACATAATGTATTTAAATTTTCTTCAACTGCCTCATTCCACTTACCATCATATCCTCAAGGGACTTCTATGTTGTTCAAGCACATATCACAATTTCTCTCTCTCTTAGGCCTCCTAAGATTCCACACTAGGCATACGACTGTGTGAACATCCATTCATGAATACCTAACTAGTTTTCATGCTTTAGTTGTAAATAATACTTCGATGTGCATGGGTTGGCAAGTGTCTCGCCAAAACCCATTTTATATTTCTTTGTGTAAATACCCAGAAGTGGAATTGATGAACTCTATGGTAATCATGTATTTGTTTACTTTAGGAACTACTCTTCCCCCAGAGCTGTTCTGTTTGACATCCTCTCAGCAGCCGGGCAGCATACAAAGCTCCATTCCCTAAACATCCTCTAGAAACTTGTTACAGTCTTCTCTAGTAAACATCTTAGTATATGGGATGTAGTCACTCATCATAGCATTTGTTTCTATTCTCTAATGTTTACTGGTGATGATTAGCATATTTTCACAGACTTATCAGCTTTGTGTATGTTTTCTGCGGGGGAATGTTTTGCTTATGTTTGAATCAAGTCATTAATTGTTGAGTTGCAGATGTTCTCTATTCAGATATAAAAATTCATTATGATAATGCAAGTACTTCTTCCCATTGCCTTTTCACTTTGTTGATACTGCCCTTTGATGCTGAAATCTTTTTAGTTACCACAAAGTCTTACTTGTGTAGCTTTGTTTGCTTTTTATCACCTGTGACTCAGGAACCACACACAGAAAGTCACTCTTAATTCCAACATCCTGGCAATGCTCTCTTCAAAGACTTTTGTTGTTTTAGGTCTCAGATTAAGTCTTTGATACGTTTTGAGTTAAGTTTTCATATGGTGCTGGGAAAGGGCCCAAGTTCATTCTTCTGTATGAGAATATCTAGTTTTCCCAGAATAATTTCTCAGAAAAACAATTGAATACTTTTGACGTTCTTCTTAAAAGTCGTTGGACCTTATGTGATAGGATTTATTTCTGGGATCTCTGTTCTGTTTCACTGGTCTATGTCATTGTTATGTCAACACCACAGTGTTTTGGTTACTGTGAATTAGTAGCAGATTTTGGGATTCAAGATTCTAGGGACTATTTAGGGTTCATTGATAATCTAGTTGAATTTTAGGATTTGTCCCTCTGTTTCTGCTAAGCCTGTCCCTGGGATTTGGGTCTGTAGGTTGTTTTAGGAAGTATTTACATCTTAAATGATACTATGGATGTTTTTTCCTTCCCTTCCATCCTCTTGATTTTATTTTAGTGGTGTTTCCTGACTTCATTGTACAGTCCTTACACCTTCTTGCTTCTTTCTTAATTCTCTTTTGTTTGAGACTATTGTGAATGTGGTTGTTAGCACAGCTGATGATGTATGCTGCCTTTGGGTCTTGCCCATTATTGCTTTTATTGTCCGATTCTAACCTTTCTGTAGGTGACTTTAAAGAAGAATTCTCTACATATTTTGCATAGAAGTCCTTTTTCAGGTATATGCTCTGCAAATAATTTCCTCTAATGACTTGTCATTTTCTCAACAGCATCTTTTATAGAGTGGAAAATTTGCCTTTCATGAAATCTAATCTATCAGTTATTTTGCTTGTGTGTGCTTTTGAAGTTGTATCTATAAAGTTAACGTCAATGAATTCTAGGAAGTCTTTAATTTCTTTCTTTATTTCTTCCTTGACCCAGGAATATTGCAAATGCATGTTGTTCAATTTCCATGAGTTGGTAGGTTTTTTGCACTTTGATTTGTTTTTGATTTCTATCTTTAAAGCATGGTGGTCTGATAAGACACAGGGGATTATTCCATTTTTTTGTACCTGTTGAGGTTTGCTATGTTGCCGAGAATGTGGTCGATTTTTGAGAAGGTTCCATGTGATGCTGAAAAGAAGGTATATTCTTTTGTGTTTGCATAGAAAGTTCTATAAATGTCTGATAATCCCAATTGGGCCATAACTTCTGTTAGTTCCTTTGTCTCTTTGTTAATTTCTGTCTGGTGGTCCTGTCCAGGGGTGAGAGTGGGGTGTTGAAGTCTTCCACTATAACTGTGTGAGGCCTTATTTGTGATTTG